GATTTCTAGAACCTACAAAAATGGTTTTTGTTTTTGATTTCTTCACGTTACACCTGATCCTGATCTTTGATTGGTTGATAGACGTCGGAAAATCATGTAACAGTAAAAATCGATCCTATGCCTTGATATTTAGATTTGGTGACCAAATATCTGCTTAATTCCGCCGATAGACCGTAACAGGTAATGATGTCTCTTTGAATAAGAAACATTGAGGGATCACAAAATTATCGTAAGTTATATTTTTACTATGCAGAATTATAAATCGAAATTCTGTTACAGTAGGAGTTACAAGGGGAGTTTTGACCAATGTACAAACCCATCTAATTATACTATATAATAAAGTTCTACCAGCAATCTTAGATGAAAAAAGAATTGTCATGAAGTAACAGCCAGAGTCTAAAACTCGGCATCAAACTTGTGGGCGGACCGCACACTACATATAGAACTTGGTGCGCTGCAGCACACATAAAATTTTTTTTAAGTGTGCGCAAAATAAATAGCTCAAATATATGTTGAGAAGAGCGAAGTGAAATAGTGATGGGACAAAAATTTGGATACCTGTAACTAATTAAACAACAATGATAACCTAATTTTCGTCTAAAATTTTAATGTTTGCATTAGTACAGAGTAGAAAAAATATAACTAAATTTTTGAGCCGAAAACTTATACTTAGTAACAAAAGACTAATTTCCCTTGCGAATTTATGAGTTTATGTGATTTCTTTAATTTTTTACTTCGCATTTGTATGTTACACACTGATCTTACAATCGGATTGGTTAAAAATCACGAAGCCGCGAAATTTTTGCGCCATCACTATTTCACCCTGAATTTGACCTATTTTATTAAAATTTTTGGGGTTTTTTTTTGTAGTCAGTTGGTTAGGAAAATGACCCTCCGAGGCTATGTTGATTTTGTGAACAAAAATTAAATTTGCCAACCATCTAGTTATCCGATTTGAATGAACTTTTTTTTGTTTGTGGAGCTAAATAAACTCTACAAAATAAAAAAAAAAAGAAAAAGAAAAAAAAAAAGACCATTCGAATTGGATGACTAGATGGCTGGCATACTTAATTTCTATTCACAAGATCAACATAGCCTCAGATCCCATATATTAAAATTACCTGATTTTACAGCATAATCTAATTTATTAAATTTTAACTAGCGGACCACCCTGAGAACTTATCTCGAATTATTGTCGAGATGGCGGGTGATCACGAGTTTTAGATTATGTATTATATTGATACTGATGTATATAGTGTGTTTTATTAAAATATGTAAAAATAAATACAATACTTACAGTAAGTATTGTATTTTTTTTTTTTTGTAATTATTATATATACATATTTTAATAAACATACACATCGATATCAATATCTAAAACTCGTGATCACCCACCACCCGCCATCCTGACAATAATTCTGGATAAATTCTCCGAATTTTGAATTTAGCTGTAACTCGTGATTCGTGAATTATTCGAGTTTTAATTGATTAATTCAAGTCACAACAATTAAATTATTGAAAATTTTGGAAATTGAAGCAAGTATACTTCAGATAGCGAGTTACTCGAAGTAATTATAATTCAAATAGCGAGTTACTCGAAGTAATTATAATACAAATAGCGAGTTACTCGAAGTAATTATAATTCAAATAAAAGCAATAGGGTGGTTTCAAAGTTAAAATCAGAGAATCTTATTTTATTTTTTCCGATTTATAATTCAACATAGTAAAAATGCTATTGAAAAAATCCTATCTATTTTCGAAATACGTCACTTATTTGTTAACTTTGAAACCCCCCAATAATCACAGTTTACAAGTTATGAAAGAACATATTAATTATTCGTCAACTAGAAATAATTTATCTAACAAATCCATATTTTTCACCCACCAATTCTGAATCATTTCTTCAGCGTAGGATCATTATTGCCCTATTTGTATAAATGGAAATGTCTTAACGTTAAAAGTTATGGAAATTTTGTTTTTATTAATTATATAGCTTATCAAAATTCAGTGAATTACATATCAGAGATATACCGATACGTAGTTACGTTAAAATTACATACGTACGTACGTATTAATTATACATCATTACAAAATAACACGTGAGTTAAATTCTCATGATTCGAAGAATGCAAATTTGAATTATTCGAGTCACGAGTTTGACGGGTCCACTAATTTTCTCCCCAGGTTAGCATTTCTGATCGATATAAAAAATCGACGATCTTTAATAACGTGACGCATCTACAGCGAATCAGAGAACAAGATCAGGTGTAACATAAAAATTCAAAAAAAAAAAAAATCGCTTATTTTGAAATGCCTCATCTCAAAATTTCGCCTAAGAATCGCCTTTTGCGTACTAAAAGATTTTGGTATAATATCATCCATTAATTCTGACACTAATTCTAATTTTTCAATAATAAAGTGACATGTAATTTGGTGCGAATAATTCCAGCCAATAGGAACTTGGGGGAAAATTAGTAATCCGAGTTGGGTGAGTTATGTGCGCGCGCGAAGAGCACATATTGTAATCTTTCAGCTAATTTCAAAATTCATGGACCATCCTCCCGAATTATTGTCGCGATGGCGGGTGGCGGATGATCACAAGTTTTAGATTATGTATTATATTGATATCGATGTATATAGTATGTTTTATTAAAAATACGTGTAATAAATACTAATATAATACATAATCTAAAACTCGTGATCACCCGCAACCTGCATCCCGACAATAATTCGGGAGGATGGTCCATGAATTTTGAAATTAGCTTGTAAGGTACGAAAAATTTTTTAATTTGCGCTCCACCTCTTCGCACATAATTTTAGATACTGATAACAGCATCTTCTGTATTTATTAAAACCGCGCCTATTTTTGAAAAGCGGTTTATACAAAACAATTTCGATGCTAAAGATATTTCCACAAAACAATGAGAACAAAACTAAACGCAAGGTTTGCACTTTTTGACTTGATTCAACTTCCTAAACCAAATCAAGTTTGCCTTATTGTATTCATCCTTCTGGTTTTGCCATACAAGTTGATATAATACAAATAATTTAACTTGAACGCGATATAATACCTATTCGTCATTATGATCATTATAGTCCATTGATTCACTGATTAGAAAACAAAGGAATAATGACGCTAATGTTGAATTTTTAATTACTGATAATTACTGATTAATTACTGATTAATTACTGATCAGTTAACTTACCAAAAACAAATTAAATAAAATACAAAGTTTTTCTGAATTCAAACAAAAGCGATACATATGTACGTACAGTACGTACTCATAAATTAATTGTGCCTGTACCTGATTGCAGATAAAACTAGTAATTAATTTTTTGCAATCAACATATTTGTACGTAACATCTAAAGCTCGCACATATGTACGTACAGTACGTATCCAGACACGTGATGATACAGCAAATTATAAATCCCTAACAAAAACTACCGCTACATACTTTAATCTGATTCATCCTGGATCTAACAATAAAGAAATTTGTGGGACAAAATACAACACCGGGGTTTCGGTCACATAAAAGTTAATTACGGAATGCATTGTAATAATTTAAATAAACAATGTTGACTCTGCACGTATTGCATAACGATAATTTGGAATTATACAATGCATTTCGTAACTGCGTCTCTACGTGATCATATGTACGAAGTGGTGAATTATGCAAGACCTGCAGAATTATATGTAAAACAATACATTCTTTCGATCGTAATTGTGACTGCGGAACATAATTCGTTTTATCATGAGCCCGGATCACATAACGAACAATGCCCGACTTTGTACAAAAACGAATCTTTTCTTGGCTATGTATATATAATTCAGGAAACCATACTTAGTATTAATATTCCATTCTTTTTGATATGTCCTATGTTTGATTATGTATTTAGAACCTTGGACAATACTAATACTGTATGTACTGTAAGTACGTCAGGTGTACTTCACCAACAATACGACCTAATTAAATATCTGAATTCCTGAATTATTGCATATTAAATCACGTATAGAACAAAAGACTATTATTTATTTCTTGAGCCACCTTTAAATACAACGGCGTACTGAGGTCCGCGTTTTTTTTAAAATTTTTTTTAAAATTTTTTTTTTTCCTTCGTTTCGTAATTTCTTCATTCTATAAAATTTATCACGCGTAATAAATAAATTATGTATTTGTTATCAGTAGCTTTAGATGCTCTGACAAATCTAAAAGTTGCTTGTGAATTGGTAAAAGGACAAGAAACGTTTGAATTCGTCAAAAAAATATGGGATGACTTAAAGTTTGAAGACGACGATGATGTTTATGATAGATTATATTTTTCGTACGATGATGATGATGATGATGATGATGATGATGAGAATGCTAATATCGTTTCTGATAAAGGTATTTTTTATTCTGGTTCACGATAATTGAAGTATTCATGATAACTGAAGAAATAAATCAAAATAATCAAAAATCCTTTCATTTTTTTCTTTTTCAAAGTTGTCGACGAACGCGAAACAATGTTACCACAAACTGAATTCATCGAGTCTGTCGACAAAAAAGATTATAAACCTCAAAATATCACTGTAAAACCCGTAAAGAAACCCGTAAAGAAACCCAGCTTCAGCTTGACAATTAAAATAAATACTACTACTACCTTGAATAATGTTAAGACCGCTTTCCGTGACAATAAACAATTTTTCGTCTCCACCACAATCAATGAATCAAATGCTGACGACCATATCTTTTTGATAAAAGATTTCCAATTTTCACGTTCTATCTCTGATCATAATAATAATAATACTAGTTTAAACTTGGACTTTACAAGTTTCACTTCGTCAGATGACAACCTAACGGAGCTTTCGGATTCCGATCCGACTTCATATCAAGACGAAATACCAAACACTCCGTGTGGTATTTCAAGTAGTACTTCAAGTACTTTCAGTATTCTAAACACTCCAGTAACTCCAAATACTCCATTATCTTTTAACTTTGATGGTGATGACAAAGACGACGACTCTGAAAATGATGAATTAGATGATCTTATTGCTACATCTCCTAAGTTTTCTTCCCATATAAAACCTATTAAAGTATTTCATAAATTTACAAACTATAAAATCCAAAAAAAGAAAAGACCTATCTCATCAAAGTTTTCCAGTTTTCCTGATTTTAACACTCCAAAGTTTTCCAGTTTCCCTGATTTTAACACACCAAAGTTTTCCAGTTTCCCTGATTTTAACACACCAAAGTTTTTCAGTTTTCCTGATTTTAACACATCAAACTATTCTCGCAACCAAACCATTAACAACAATACTTATACTTCTATCATGGAATGGTTTAATTCTTATGTAAAAAATGGAAAAATCGATGGATATGGTTGTAATATTGTAAAGAAAATATTCACTTATCTTTCAGGATATTTAATGCAAAAGAAAAACGATGATGTAAAAGTTCTTTCATCGAAAGACAATGATAATAACTATACACATAATATCGATATGCAAACAACTAACATTACTAAAGATACGCAATTCGATGCCGATATCAATACCGCAATTGACAAAATTAATAATTCACAACAACCTATGGGAATTAATTTCAATGAAGAAACAACAATACCTTTATCGCTAACGCCGTCCCAAGAATCGTCTCAAGAATCATCCCAAGTAACATTCAAAGAATTGTCCCAAGAATCATTCCAAGAATTGTCCCAAGAATCATCTCAAGAATTGTCCCAAGAATTGTCCCAAGAATCATCTCAAGAATTGTTCCAAGAATCATTCCAAGAATCATACCAAGAATCATCTCAAGAATCATACCAAGAACCATCTCGAGAATTGCCTCAAGAATCATACCAAGAACAATCTCGAGAATTGCCCCAAGAATCATACCAAGAGCCATCCCAAGAATTGTCCCAAGAATCATCCCAAGAATCATCCCTAGAAGAATCATCCCAAGAATCATCCCTAG